TCATCCAGTTATTTGTATACCTTATATACATCTTTAAACATATTCTAAACCTTTTTCTCTGTGGTCATTTTCCCCACATTTGGAAAACAAACCAAAAAATCCCATATAAAAATCTGTTCTCAAGCTTGTCATAAAGACTTTTAAAACATATACATTCCACCTCTCACTGAAAAACACATGTAAATACATCATAGTTATTCACGCCAGAGAACCAAAATAGAGGAACTAAAAAGAAAATTCAACTCAGATTACTATTAAAATCAAATCTGAAAACTTTTATGGCATGACAGCCTTAGACAGAGAGGGTGGCCATATTAGGACAAATGTTTATTTAATCGAAACCAAAGAAAACCTGTAGTCCATCACAAATGATGCATCTATGCCATTGACAACCAGACTGTTTTGAGAACATCATCATGTCAAGTCTCCTGGCATCCAGTTTATTATGCATTTTCAAACAAAAAGAATTAACACAAACTCTTCCCATGCATTGAAAGATACTTATTTTTGATATCTTATGATGAAAAAATTTCATTTCTTAAAATCTTTTCAAATCAGAAACTGGAATATTGCATTGGAATAAATCAAGTTTCCAACAACTCGGTTTTTTGATAAACAAATACCAGAAATAAATATTAAACTGCCAAAATTGGAAACGTTATAATTGCTACAGGGCTTTTATGGGGAAGACACACTAAAAGCCAATGAGGCCAGTCTGTATCAGAGGAGAAGCAAGGAGCATAGACAGATGAAGCCAGAATCTAGCTGGGGTAGGTGTGCTTGACCTTAGTAGCAATCATTCACCCTTTCTCCCCACATTCCTTTTCTTATGAAGATCGCATAATCTCAATGTAAGACTTTACAGTGTAGCAGCAAGGTACTCAAAGGGACAGAGAAATACAAATTATTTTGGTGACATTGCTACACTGAAACCTCTGGAAGAGAGGGGGAGAAGCCATGATGCTCCATAGCCTGAAGCAGAAACCAAAGCAGGAGATTTATCAAGGCACAAGATCCACCTGATACCCTTTTTTCACAAAAGCCACTGTAGTCAGTTGCAGAAATGATAAGTAAATATCTTGCCTATTTATGATGTCAGACAAAATGATCTAATAATCTTTATTGCATAAAAGTCTGTGCACCTTTGATTTGATCAGAAATGTTTTATTTTATGCTAAAATCTATTTAGCTACCTTAAAACTACCACAAAAGTTAAGAAATTGAGGAGGAAAAACTCCTGTACCAAGAAGAAAATTAATACATAAAATCTCACCTCAAACTTAAATCCAAATTATAACCTTTATGCCCTTATGTAAGATTTGCTAGTTTTTCTGAAATAGTTATAAGACTTCCACTAGAATTGTATTATCAGGATATGGTATTTGCATTGGGCCTTCTTACTTCTTGTTGTTTTCTCTCCAATAATTACAACATATTTTCATCAGGTATCATCCTTCCTTGAAGTTATTCCTTTGCATGCTGTGTTTACTAGCAGAACTAATATTTTGTGGGGATACATTAAAACATATAAATTTTGGTTTTATTTTCATGCAGATTTAGATTTGCACTGAAATAGGATGAATTTCTGTAACAGCATGAGTGGAGACCTCCTATGGCTGGTGATGACTGCTGAATGACAACTGTAAATTGAGGATCAGTCACAAAGCTTGTTAGCAAACAAGACTAATAGATGGGAGCCTCTCACTGACGGACAAGCATAACAACAAATTTATTACTAGAAACTGTATGAATTTTTTAACCTTGTAATATTATGAAATATGGCAATTAGATTACCTTTTTTCATCACAAGAAAAATCCTTAGGTGTTTACATATTGGGAAAAAATGGAAGGTGATTTATATTTCATTAACATGGCAATCAATCCAATTTTTTGGAGAATCCCTTAAATGTAGTGGTTCCTATTTAATGAGAGCTGCCAGTAAACCAAACAGATGATTCTTTCATGCAGGTTTCAACATGCAATTTTGTTTTAAACAGATGTCCAGCTAGGCTAAACCAGTTCATCTTCAATGCAGTCACACACATTCTTGACCAATCCACAAAGATACTCACATGAAAATGATAATTTTGGAAATCTACTTATCTACTGAGCATCTTATATAGACGTTCTTATAATCTGAATGCCTTTCTGGTTTTATCAAAAAGAACACCTTTTCAGCATGTAGAGAAAGTAGTTTCATAGGCTAGCAAAGGATATAATGGAAAGAAGCAGTGAAACCAATGGAAAAGAAAAAAGTAAAGAAAAAGTTAACAAAAGTTATTCATGCATACCAACATAAACTTTTTCTGTATATATGTTGGAATAGTTTTGAGAGAGAACAAGTCTTGATATTTTGGCTATAAAAGCAGTGCTACTGCAGGCTGTAGCTTAATAAGGACTGCTCTGTTGTATGAATGTTTGAGAGAAAATTAAACCAATTAGATATTACAACCAAAATATTAGCTCTTTATTGAAATTCTGAAGCAGAACTCAGAATTACATTAAATCATAAAGAAAAAGTGAAAATAAAATTAAGTTTAAAAGTCTATCTTTTATTGAAATCTGCATAAAACAAATAGCTTACCAGCTGAAGAGTAAATTAGATTTTAAATTCAACTTATCTAAAAGATAGTTAATAAAATTTACCTATTTTATATATTTGACTTTTAACCTGAAACTCTTGTTTCTTCATTTCTTTTAACTTAAACTAAATGTATCAGAAAGAGTTAACATCATTCATACAATAATTTGCTTATTAGATAATGTAATGATTTGATCAGTGAGGGTGATAAATGACAAAACAAGTGAAGTTACCAGCTGAAAAGAGTAAACAGAACTAGTACCTCTATGGGAAAATAAAGAGAACTTGTGATAACCACATATATTAATAAATAAATTCTTATTAATTTCTATATCCTTTTTCTCTATATGAAAATTCTCCAAACTAATTCAAAACTGGGAAAAAAATTTCTGCATATTATTCTAGCAAAACAGTCTGGATACAGGTTATTTTGATTGCTCCAATATATTCTGTACACAAGAATGAAAAAAGTTATGATGGTAAAGATCAAATGAGGATCACAACTGAAACAAGCTCTATCTATCAAAGGTGCAATCCAATTAAAGTATTACATTGCTCTATTTCACTCAGTTTAGTTATGCCACCTAGTAAAATTAAAAGAGACACGGTGCTTTCAAGTGAGCTTAAACCAAACCTTTAGTGTTTCAATTAATTCCTGTATGTTTCAGCTGGAACACACTTAGCCTAAAATTATTATCTAAAATCATGTTATGTCCCACTTCCTTAGCAAGAAATGTACTTCCAATGTACTCTAATGTATCATTCTTATAGAAGTATACTATACAGAAGAAATAACACACTAAGAAACAGAGGAAATTATTATAGTGACAAAATGCAATTTAGTAATTGTTGTTTAACTAGCGGTATTTTCTCCTATTCTTAACAATGAGCTGATATAGCAGTATAGAGTTTATTTTGCACAACTAAAACAGGCTATTTTACTGACACACAGGGAAAGAGGAAAATGCTGCTGAAGCCATGAACTTTAGCTTCTGTTCAAGGTTGGCGAATTCTACTTTTAATTTTTGAAAAAAAAAATCAAACCTGTTTTTAATTTGCAAAATATAGTGTGGAGTTTTGACATTCAAATAATTCTAGGATTTTCAGCTTCAAAGTAACTCTACTACTCTTCATTTGTGTTTACTGGATACCTTTAAGCCTCAATTGTTTTCACAGTCAGTTAAGCATCTGAAATCTGAAAGAGGAATGACACTTTTTTCAGAAACTCTGTTCTTCTATTAAGTCATGCAAAATACAGGGAAATGTTAATATACACTCTTTTTCATAACTCAAGTATAAAATTCTCTGTTGCTATGAAAGCTCCCCTTATGTCCAGGTGGGATAGTTATACTATTCATGAATTATGACTCTTCACAATTTTTGTTTTCCAGAAATAATACTGCATGGGTTTTTTGGATAAAGTAATAATTTCCTGCATGGTACCAAAAATTGTATTTATTCATACCAATCACTTTAAGATTCAAATTGGAGAGAATTTTCAGATCATCTAAATTATCCAATGCTTTTACATTCATTCCTAAAAATTAAGTCCCCTAACTTTATTGCCTTTTTGAATATTGATGAATCTGTATTATTACTGATGCTTTATCTCCTTTCTATATCTTTAAACTGCTGCTATCCTATGTTTCACAATTCTCTTCCCCATTACTTTCAAATCTCTATGTGCAGACCAGAATACTCAGAAGCATGAGGTAAAAGTACTCCCTAGGGAAGCAAAGGTAAGAGTAGTATAAACCCATTTTCCTAACTGAAATATAGGCTGATTGAGTAAGTTCTTAGGTAAAGTTCTCCATGCTCATGTTTATGTATCCACAATATTCTATACCACAGATGTAACAGAATGCATATTCTCATTGCACTGTCAGACATTCCCAAAAGAGCTTTTAATCTGAACACAATTTAGAGACATACCATAGATAAGTAAGAATGAAGTGTTAAAACATATTACCTTGGTATTCTGAACAATGGGAAATTTTTTGAAATAAGCTACCAAAACTATACTAATATCAGGCAAGCAAACTGATTAAATGCAGGGAAGTTAGATATACTGATCTATAACTTACATTATTTAACATTTACGTCTAACAGTTACACTTAAAAATACTGTATTTTTCTTACGTTTTCAGAAAAATTACAAATGTTTAAATTTAACATATGAAATGTAATTATTCACAAGCTGTCAAGGGAAAGGTATGCCTTCATGATTAAGTTTTCACAGTATTCTTACTCCTGTATCTTATGAGTAATATACTTCTTTCACAAAAAGTACTATGTAGTCCTTATTCTGACAGCATATTACCACAACGCATTCTGTCACAAAAACCGTGTCAGTCTGCAAGAACATCTGAGTGACTAAGAGACTAGTCTCAAAGGTTTTGCATCAGTCTGAAATACTTACTGTCGCTGGGGAGGCCCGCGTTGTGTGAGTCACTGTATGACCAGAATTTTCCATTGAATTGCCAATCAGATAGGTCCCTCCTGAGCTGCTAATGAGTTGTCCTCCTGTTACGCCCATCTGAATCCCTCCAGTGCCCACCATGCTATGAGACGAGACCACTGTTGTCACCTGTGCAGAACTTCCTTGAGTATCAAAATAATTTCCCCCAGTGTTTTGACTGTACATCTGGGTTTCTGTGTAAGGATAAGTTGTTGATCGGCTTCAAGAAAAGAAAATAAAAGAAAAGGAAAATACATTATTTGTATTTCATTTAGCTGAGGGTAATGTTGTAACTCTAGAAATTGATTTACAAAAACTAAAATCAAATAAAATAAGATTGGCAAACAATCCCTGTCTCCTCAGAGAATAACAGTTAATCAAGTAAAATATTTAAATAACTAACTTGGTGTCAATGGTAAGCCAATTATCCACTGAACATTATAGAAAAAATGTCAGTCTTACATGAAGAAGAAGAGAGAAAGGAACAACAAAAATTTAAGGCAGGCACATAGAGCTAATCTAATTATTAATATATTGCAAAGTAATCTACAAAGCTCCGACTGCATCAACATTTTTTTTTTAATTTGACAATAGAATTTCAATTTCAAGTTGGATGCTATATGTTTTGCATAATGTGTAGTCTGCAAAGTTACAAACAATTCATACAAATGTCAGCTAACTGAGTCCAATGTTCAAGAATCCTCTGTTGTCTATTGTTTTTAAATTCACTGAAGCTCTTGACTGAAGCTTGAAAATCTGAATCTACTGGTATTTTGGGAAATGCCGTTATTTTTACAGGGCAAATTCAAAATTAGACATGAATTAATGTAATGATAAAAAAAGCATTCAAGAAATAAAACCAAACAGAACTATAACTTGTAAAAACATTGCAAATATTAGAGAAGTTAAAGGAATGCAACAGTAACATTTTAAAAATAATTATCAAGTGTGAATCATTTACATGTCATAAAACATTTCACCCTAATAAACTATTCAGCTACTGAAACCTTCTGTCATGTCTTTCATGTTCTTATTTACTTACTTTGAATCATTATTCTTCATGTGTTATAATCTACTTATAATTTTTGAATTTGTATATGTTCCCACAAACTAAATTTTATATTTAACTCTATATATTTCAAAATTATAATAAATATAATTAATTATTTCAAAGACTGGATTTTTGTATGTTGTCAAGCATGATAACAAGTAAAAATCAGTCAGCTGACCCAACCATTAATTTTCATACTTAAGCATAAAAATCTGTAACATTTCTTGTAATCCACAAGCATTATCAATTTATATGGCTTGTAACTAAACAAGTTAAAAAAAACACAACAAGCAAACAACAAAACCCCAGACACTTTTGTACAGAAACACAAGAAGTGGATGCAGCACTCATGTTTTATGCAATAAACTGATGATCAAGACACATATGCAAGAACCTGGAGTCAGATTTTTCTTCCCCTTTATCTATATAATATTTATTTTTAAATTAATATAGAGAAAAAGTCAAGGCAATTTACTGTTTTTTATTTATGAAAACTTATAATAAACAAACAATAAAATAGTAAACAACAAACCCAGAAATTATAATTTCTTGTTTACCTTCAGAAAAGCATTACTTCTAAATGATTGAGGAACATAATAGTACCTCATCAACAACCAAAGTCAGAAATTTTGCTTTGTTAAGTCTCCCTTCCCCTGCCGAGACTTCTAGAATCTCCAAACTTAAGTTTCAAAATCTGAAATGTTTCATAAGCCTCATACTACCCTATTCCCTCTTACCCCTCTTTAAGCTACTTAAACACTTTCCATTTTATTTTGATTATTTCAAAAGCCTCAAGATCAGCTGCAAAAAGCCTTGAAGCTAATCCAAAAGAAATGCTTTGCAGTCTGCTGAAAACAAAGCAAAATAGTTCTTTGAGGGACTAATGCTCAAACAGATATTTAATCTATTAACCTTTCTTTTGAAAGTTAAAATCAGTTGATCTTTGTATTGCAATAACCCATGTATGTATTGAGGTACTATGCAGGTCCTGTTTAATCTGTTCTCTCAAGCCAAGGCATCATTGTGGTACCTTGTCATACCTTTGGGATACTGTTTATCTTAAACCATAGGAAAGCTCTACTGAGTTGTTAAGGTGCAAAAAACAAAATGAGTGAACGCTGCCATCTTCATCCCTCCCCATGTGCATCTAGATGTTTTGTGATCAATTCCAGGGATGGTGGCTCCATCACTTCCCCACACTGCCTGTTCCACATCTTGATCACCCTTTGCAGCAAAGAAATTTTTTCTTAATGTCTAACCAAAGTGTCCCTGGGTGCACCTTGAGGTCATTCATCTTGTGATGAGCACAGTAACCACTAGCAGACTGGATGTTGCCTCTATCTTTACATCTGTGAACAGTGCTATACAGCAGAGGACGAATGTAGGGAAATGTGATGTAGGCTCAGGGGAAACAGTTCATGGAAATGATCACCAAGTGACTGACACTGTAATTTCTCTCACAAGAGGAAAGGAAAATCTCGGTATCACCTGTCAGTAAGGAAAGTAATGAAAGGATAAGATCATTGTTCTTGCAATGCTGTAAGTTCTTGCTGCAAGTTCTTGCAATACTGCAAAATAGACATGGCTAGAGGAAATACACTGTACAAAAGATGCAAGGAGAACAACTCTCACCTGCAAAAGTGGAATTGAATATTGGAAGCAATGCAAATCCTAGAGAATGCTTCCAATTTTGAAGAGAATTCAGTCACAGACTTGCTGTGGAACAGGAGATGAAATATATGTTTGCTTTTACCTTGTTAAGGTATATCATATGTATCATTTGTAGACCGCTATATCACACACAGTCTCTAAATAAGGACTGATTGTAACAGAGCACCTATTTCTGCTTATAATAGCACTCTGTATCAGTGTATCAATGGGACACACATCAATGGGTCTGACTCCAAAATAAACACACTCTTCCGTTTGGTCCAACAGCCAACCAGGTTTTCTAGAACACTGGAGATGATTTAGCAAATCTTTCAAAACAGAGATCAACGGTGTACTTAAAAGTGAGAGAAACTATTATTACATGCAGTAATGATTGCAACTTAGCAAAGAGACATTTAATTTAATCAAAATTATTCAATCTGGAAATTAAAAATGCAGCTGAATAAGATGATTTAGAAAGCAGTTTTAAGAAACCATGTTTTTAGAAAGCAGACTTAATTGTTTTAAGGTCATTGCACATGGTAACACAACCCTTTAAAATAAAGTTGCAGCAAAGAGGAAAATAAATTCAAATAAGGAAGTGATCTTCTATTTCTCCACAGCACTTGTAGCACAAATACATTATACTTTCTTAAATAGCCTGACACATATCATAGTCAGTTCCTTCCCACTACAAAGGTTTTAAATGCATTCTAGCATTCCTAGCTCTCCTCTTCTTTAACAGCAGCATATAAAATCACACAGGGAGTAATCTCAAAGTTTTCTTGCTCTTTATGACAACACATTGATGATTAACTCTTGCTTGTGATAGCAGGAAGGCAAAAGAACCTGATAGTTCCTACTACTGAAACACTGTGAAGTGCTTTACTAGAATGTGGCATTAGAAGAAAGCTTACCAGTTACAAGTAAATTTAAAGTCTAAGTAGTTAGGCTGCAGTATCCTAATTTCCAGAAGGCTGTGAAAACTAGATCATGTTTACCCTGAGAGCAAGCAACAAAAAGTCAGGCACTGTGTGAATTCAGATTAAGCAAGCACAGAGCAGGTGCCTGATGTTAAGATGCCACACTAGAAATTAACAATACCAGCAAGAGTCAGACTAGCATTGCAAGGTACAATAATCCAAGGCATTTCCCATTATGCCTCATTGCTTGCTTGCATACATTTTATAATGATTTACAAAATATAATGTTAGAAATAAAAGAGATGGAGTTGTAGTAAAAAGTCATTTAAAACACTTTTTTTTTTGCACATGAAACCAGAAAATAATTCATTTCATTAAGTGCCAGCATTACCACACAAATCAATTGTAGTGTCTTACCCTACATTACAGACTCTAATATAATGTTACTGAGCTCAACTTTTACAGACACTTCTGTCTCTTCAAAGATACTGACATTCTGAAAAGAAAAAAAACAGAACAATGGCACAGAAAGAGTAAACTTGTTCTCGTCCTCCCTTAGTTTTCAGCACACATATGCACACACTGGAAATAATTTATAGCAATCTGCACCTATGATCAGATTCTATGTAAATATCTAATTAATTTGACCACTATGTACGAGTGTTCAACTTTATAAAACCTCCAAACAAAGAAATTCTTTCATGTCAGAACAATATCCTCAAACTCCTTTAAGTTTTTAGGATAATTCTGTGGTCCTTAAGCTAATAGAGAGCTTCACAGAAATTAGAGAGAACAGAATCCTTTGTCTAATACTGAGGGAAGGCCTTACCATAGCCAGATACTGGTGGTGATGTATCCTAAGCAAAGGGAAGAAAAGGAAGTGCCATACACCTTGAGACTGTTACAAGACAACATGATACAGGCATTTAATTATAATAGAGAGGCATTTATTAGCCATAAAAAAGAACTGAGATCTTCAACACCCAGTCCAAGACCATTTTCCATGTGGAAACAAAGCAATAAAAGCACACACAATGCACAGCTACAGAAAATCAGGCAAGGTGGGGCACACAGTAAATGAAAACAAAGGTGCCATTCTATAAATTCTATTCTCTGTAATTTAGACAGTCAAAGAAACATTAATTACATATTTCTAAAATTCTGATTAAGTACAGCAGACTATAGTCCAAGAAATACGGTATTGCCACTGTTAGGAACATGTCAAAGGGTACATACTAAATCTGCAAGACGTCAGGAGTTGGGCTTGTCAGGCTCTCTTTGTCTAGGCTTCTCTGTCTTAGTCTAGAGTTTTGTTCCAGTAGTGATTACTGAACAATTAGATAAATGTTACTTAATCTTTTTCCATTTTATCTAAGCTTTCTATGATTGTGTGGTATGAAACCTATAATTAAAATGCTGAGGCATTGCTCTAACAGATGTTAATATCAAATAGCTATTCTGTACAGAATAAACAATAACCCTAGATCAAAATTGTAGCAAAGAGAACCATGAGGTGGGATAACAGTATTGAAGAAGTATCCATTCTGGCAAAAACAGACCACATAAAACAAATTCAGATTAACTATGGAAATGGAAACCAGTGAATACACTGATATGGATAAGGTATATACTGTGCTACAACACAAAAATAGCTGCAAGTGGACACACTGTGCCACCCTCACCACCCATCATACATTGCCTACACATAACACCTGTGTTAGTGGTAAATTGCTGTAACTCTCTCTAACTCAGACAGGAGCCATTCACCTTAGTATGCATAATGATAGTAAAAGGAAAAGGATAATGTCAGAGAAAAGGGATAAATACTAGTAATTAGTAGGAAGATAACAATTTCAACTATATTGATAATAATTACTTTATTTAACCATTAAGATTTCAATTAAGGCAATAGTAAATTCTTGGGTTTGCATAAATGGTGCATTTTGCCAACATAAACACCACAAATCATTGTACAATTTGGTGAAGAATGTGGTTTGGATCCAACAGCAATATCACTCCTTGCACAATCCCAGCAATTAAAATCCTGTTTGCTGCATCAGAACTACAGGGTAAATGGCTACATTTTATTAATCTGTTACCATCTGTAAGAAGAAAGCTCACATTTAGTATGTGGAACCAAATGACTTCTTAACATAGGTGTAGCAATAATAGTCTTAATATATTCTGAACAGCCAGGTAAGCCTGTACATGCCATTGCAACAACAATGCACTTTTGTTTCAGGATGGAGTGACATATTTGACAAGCAAAACTGTTGCTAACTAGAGACAAATGCAGTTAACATAATTCAAATATTCTCATATCATACAATGTATGTGACAAGTTGTAGGCTACACCCCTTGTATAATTATATTGCCTCCAATTATAATAAAACAAAATAATTATTAAGTGTAGACAAATAATGATATAAAATGTGTGGGAAGAATTGTATTACAGGAATACAACAATTACACTTGACAAAGAATGTGAAACCTGACAAACTTTTTAGTTTTATAATGCAAAGAATTAGGTAACTTTTTCCTGATATGTATTGTAACTGCATCCTCTGTTGCTACTGTATATGGATTTAAATCAGTGGTAGTTTGCAAGTGCTATATTTTAAAATAAAGGATAATTCTTTCACAGAATTGTAGAATTGCTTGGGTCAGGAGGGACCTTAAGGATCTTCTAGTCCAATTCCCCCTGTCATGGGCAGTGAAACCTTCTATTAGTCCAGGTTACTCAAAGCTCCATCCAACCTGGTCTTCAATGCTGCCAGGGATGCGGCATCCACAACTTCTCTGGACAACCTTCTTTGCCACCCTCTGAGCCAAGAATTTCTTCATCATATCTGTCTCATCTAATCTAAATCTCTCCTCTTTTACTTTAAAACCATTGCCTCTTTAGCCTATCATTATCTGCCTGTAAAAGAAGTCCCTCTCCTACCTTTTTTGTAAGCCTTCTTTAAGTAATGGAAGGTTACAATAAAACTCCTCAATCTGTCCTCATCTGTCCTCATAAGAGAGGTGCTCCAGCCCTCTGGTCATCTTCGTGACTCTCTTCTGGACCTGCTCTAACAGGTCCATGTCCTTCTAATTGCTGAGGACCCCAGAAGTGGACACAGCACTCCAAGTGAGGTCTCATGAGAGCAGAGTGGAAGGCAATCTTTCATCAGGCATGTTGTGACAATTTATTACAGAGATTCCTGTATGAATTAAAGTCTTCAGCCTAACTATGATTTGCAGACTTCTTATTCTGTTGCCAGAGCAGTACTATTGCTTGATAGATCACAGAACCATCCTATATCCAATTTTGAGTTATAATTAAGATTTTGATTTATCATAAATATATCAAACACATAATCATAGGAAGACTACCCAAAATCTGGTGTATAAAAGTATATGGGAAATGTGCTTCACTATATAGAATCTTTGAAAAGTCTGACTAGAAACACAGACTGGGTACCTTCTCCATCAATAAAATTACAATCTTTAGAAAGGCAAATCTTCCTGTAAGGATTGAACAACAAACTCCTTGTCCTCTATATTGCTGCTCACAACAACATAGTTAAGATCTCTGTAGGAGAGAAAAACAATCTAGATTTGGCTCACAATCTAAGAAGCGCTTTCTTCTTTTATATCCTATTGACTGATTTTGTAGCAATTGACAGCGGGATTCAGACACAGAAATATAATAAAATAATGGAAACCTGAAGGTTCATACCAGTCAGTGACATCTGCTTCTGTTTTTCCCTTGGACTGTAATAAGTAGTGTAGTACACTTTTTATAACTGCCAGAAGTCCCAACAGCACACATAAGAATTAAAAAGTAATGAAAAGAGAAACTTGAAAAATAGCATATTTAAGAATGACCTCTTTTGGAGGCTAATAGGTTCTATCATGATCACAATGACATTATGGTGCTGTACATGTGTGCTGACTTTGGCTGGGGTAGAGTTACTTTCTTCACAGTAGATAGTATCAATGCAATTTGTGGCACAAGTCTGAAACACAGCTGTTTACTAGCTACTTGGAAGAAAATGAATCTATCCCAGACAAAATCCGTACAACAGAGAAGTCAAATGCATATTTAAAATACATTGTTTAGCATTTATAAGTGAGAAGAAAACCAGAGAAGACAGTACATGAAAAATTAATAAATCAATATGTGCTAGTAGAAATGACCAAAGAACACTGTCAGCGTCAGCAACCAAAGTCTCTGAATCCAAATAATACTAGTCTTTTAAACTGCTTTTGGATTACCATCAATAAATATCTTCAGACAATCAATAAGCTTTCTAAATTGTACTTCTTCAAAAAGCCAGTTAGAAAGCAAAAATGGTAAATGAAAAAATACCATTGAGAAGCTCCTTTCCAAGCAACACACTCTACTTTGAAGTTTGAGCCAATTTCAAAAGTGGTGTTGCTCCAAGCCTGTTATTAGACTAGGTATTGTCCAGAGGCCAGATCAAATCTAGATTTTTTTTTAGTCTTACTTAGCTTGCATATTGAAGAAAGAAACTTGATGATGAAAACACTTGTTCAGGAAAGCAGGAAATGCACAATCATGTGAAAACAAGATGTTAAAGAAGCAGCAAATGAGACTGTTAATTTCCTTCCTCTGCTTTTCCTCATTCCTTTGGAAAAAAAAACCTGATCTCATTTTATCAAACACACAAATGAAATTAAATTACTAGATAGTAATTACAGCTGCTGCATCTTTCTATCATTTGCCACTAGGATTGCAGCCAGGAAGAAAGAAGGCCCTGGCTTTTGTCCTGAGGACAGAAGCTATACAATATGTCTTTCAGACAGAACGTATCCATGAATTAGAAAATACTTTTTCAAACAACACTATGCCATACAGGGGGCAACTAAAACAATTACAAGAATTCTACTTACACAAAACTTCTGCCTTAATAAAAACAAATAGTGTGAATTCACATTTTAATCCAAAAAACTGTTTTGACACTGGAAGAACTGCAATGGAATATTTTTTCTTTCTAATTTAATATACAGTAGTTGATAGAATCTAACTGAAAATATTTAACTGAAAGTATTTAACTTCAGATTTTAATGAACATTAAAATTCTGACCATTTTCCAACTTACATAGCTCCATTAGTGTAGACTGTGTCACTTCCCTCCACATACTGAACCTGGGCTGGGTAGACATGCTGTACCTGTTGCACAGTCTGTACTTGCTGTACCTGAAAACAAGAAAACCAAAAGTTTGGGATATCATAAAGAAGTACCAATGCTCCAGTGCACCTAGTGGCTTCTAAACAATTTGGGATACCTTTGTTCTCAAAATTGCTAAAGGTGTATCACTGCACTAGCAAAGAAAATTACTGTTCTTACACAATATTTGTGCTGTATGTTCAGCGAACAGAGGGCTAACACTGAAGATGCACACTCATACACATCTTCAGCGTCAAAGGCAAAACTGGAGAACACAAAGATGAGATGAAGTGTAACTTTGTTTTGTACCAAGCTGAAGAACTACATTTACTACAGAAGAAAGTATCATTTCATTACACTTATTCTTTTTCTTATTCTGTTTAAGTAGTAAACAGTACAAGCCTTAAAATCATAGCTCAAATATGTTGCAGTAAGTTTAGAAATAAATGTTCTCATTAAGATGCTTTAGCTCTTGTTTAACTGCAGTTAAATTACAGTGATACAGTATTTTTTGTGGTGTACAGTTATGGGCCAAGACCCCCAGTTTGAGTAACCCCTTTCCCAGAATATTATCAGCTATGAAAAATTCCAACACAACTGGTTTTACTTCAATGAATTAAACAGCAAGAGGCAGTAAGGCATGGATTATCTTCACATGTATCACTAAGGACAGTTACTTATCAACTCCTTTAATTCATATACTATTGTAGGAATATTTCAGGTCATGCAATTTTTCTCTCCAATCCTAATTTTTTGTCTTCTTCCACAGTAAAGATGAAGAACTTCAACTTTTACACCTTCCAGTTTTCAGAGAAGCCATGTTTTGATCCAAGAGCAGTCCAGAATCTAAAACCTTCTAAAGGACTTCACAGATTGACACAACTTTACCCAAGGAATTGAATCAAGAAAGTATCAATGCACTTATTTAGCAAATAGATTTAACATTAGGTGACAGTAATTTTTCTCATATTTATTGCTATAAGGCTACTTCAGTCTAAACCGTTTGGTTCTAATGACTGCAAATACCTAATCCCAGATCAGTCTGGGTTTCATGCACTTGATGAACCCCCTCCAAAAGATCTTTAAAAATATCCTAATCTAATACTTTCACCTGTGTTATGTTTTAAAAAGTTCTGCAAAAAACACACTTCCTACTTTTCCATAGTATTGACTCTGACTTTGAAACTAAAAATCTAGATTTTTACAGAAAACTTCCCTTAGGTTAACAGTAAAACCCAAAGTCTGAAAAAGAGAGAAAACAGCCAAAGTTTAGAATGCAGCTATACTATCATGATGAAAAATCAGATGCTTCTGTCCACTAACAGAAATAAGACAGAATATGATGGCTAAGGTATCTATTAAAATCTATACTTTTATGATTTCCCATATGAATCATTACATAAATTGAGAAATACACCTGAAATACAATCTCTCAACTTCAAAAAGTATACTTTGAAGATGTCTCCTTAATTATTAAGGCAAGGTAACTGTCCTAACAATATTTAGTTATTTAACAGGAAGGTTCAGTTCTCAAAGTAATCACAAAAACTCTAATCAAAATTGTGCACATTACTACGACCTTAGAAAATTCTCTGAATTAAAAAATAGAAATAGCTGTATTGTGCAAACATCTCCCAAAATTAAACTCCCAAAATTAATTCTACTTCCATCACTTTTGACTTCATAACTTAAATTAATTCAAATCATCATTTCATGGAACGGGCTTGATCCAAATCCACTGTAAGAAAGGTTACACTGTAACCTTGTTATTAATCTGTACCACTCAAAATTTAGATCTTCCAAACTCTGACAAAATGACCCACTCACACAATAATTGGCCAAAATATATATGTGCTTTATTGTGAAACATATATGCAACTTACTGTTGTGCTATTTTTAAAGTTTAAGTCTAGGCATATTTATTCCTTTTGGGTGAGTCAATTCTATTCCCTTCAATCAATGGGAGAAGGGGAGTCATTGTTGATCAGTCTATTACAGAACACCAAACTGATCTACTTGACCTATGCTGTGAGAAAACATCTTGAAAACGGGCTTTGTTCCTAAAACCAGTAGCTTGTCACCTGGCATGTAATGGAGATGCCCCATTTTCTCTCTCAGTAGCACAGCTGGGGAAACACTGTGGAAATGATGCTGTTGTCAGTATCAATTCCATCTTCTCACCCAACTACTCCCAAAATGCACTTTGCTCCGTATTCACACATACTGAATATGGCTTAGTTCATATTAAAAATAACCCACACTATTTTGCTGTTAATAAAGGAGACACAGTTTTCTCCCTGTAACCTGCATACACTGGTAAAATGGAACTCTACATTGAGTACAAACACAGCATTAAAATAGAGAGGTCACGTTCCCCTTCTATATAAGGCATTATTATATCCTCACATTATTCTTGAATACAAGCTGCTACCCATTTCAAAAGCATCAGATTCAGTACAGTGCAAGACCTTTCTGTCAAAACTGAGACAATACTGTAGGGACAAAGTGTATACACCCTGCATCAATGTTTGCTGACTATTGGACAGGAAACTGAAAAATTCCAAAATGTGTTTCTCTTCTAATATGGAGTAAGAACAACAAAAATTTATTTTACCATGAAACAAAATACCAATATCTGTTAAAATTAAAACTTTCATTGCTTAAATTCAATTTTCCAGCAGTTTTTATCTAAGTTCTTTAATAGCCTAACATAGAATACTACTAGAAACATCAGGACTTCTTATGCATAGAAAGCAACTTGTTTTTCAAACCAACATTTAAGAATGGATATGCTACAGTGCTATTAAAACATTTTACCTACTTCTGAAAATCAAAATGTTTTTCCTTTAACACTAAAGTTCAATACAAAGAGGGCCACTGTTTTTTTTTTCAATACAGTAATTTAAAAAGTTTACAAAAAAACTTGCTTTGCATCAGCTTCTCTGAAACTCAGTACTGCTACAGTTAAATTCATTATCCTGCCAAAGGAGACTGTAGTCACTACATGGTATTGCAATGTACTAAGAACTTTAGAGTGGGGAAGGTTAGAGGCAAATGTTTTTCCTATCAAGCTCTGACAAATAAAATAAGGAAGGAGCCTTTAGGATGGCCTTGTATATGAAACCTCTGCCATGATGAAAGTCTTTGTTGTATGATATTTTCAATACTAATTTTATTTCCTATTTTATTTAATTTTTACATTTTTAATGCGAATTAAACCTAGTGCCTCTGAATCTTGTTTTTAATATTCAACAGAAAGAAATTAGATGTGTATATTTACTCTCTATGAGCACAAAATTATTTGAGAGAAGTTGGTTAGGAGGAAACAAAACACCATGAAAAATTGTGGAAAATATGAAAAAGGTCAGTTTTTTCTTCACAACTGTTTTATTTATCATTATCTTTTCACCTTTTATTAAGCTGTTAAAGGAGTGGTATCAGCTAAGTCACGTAGCTTTTGGGGCAGAGCAGAAATTGTTGACTATTCTTGCAGTGCTTTCCAGAGGCCTAAAACTAAATGGCCTTCTTATATTAAAAAATTCTCCAATAATTAATTGAAATGGGCTCAAAATAGAAAACACAATAAAATATTTATGAAACAGCAACAGTATGCATGTTTAAAAATTATCTTCTAGGGTGGATTGGTGAACTAGCCATGGTAATTTTCATTATTTTCTGGCTGGAAAACAGAAAATTAACAAAAAACTTTAGCAATTTTTGAGTTAAATAACAACAGATAGTAGAGCTTTCATTCCTCTTGCCTCAGTGACTCTATCCTGAAATAAAAAACTGGAATAGGATCAGAAGCAAGCAGCTGAAATGTTGCAGGACAGCAAGAGGTGAATGAAAACTTATTTCAATATACATGTGTAGTTACATTTACTAGCTGAAGAAGAAAAAAAAGGCAAAAAAAGTCTTCTTAATTATACTACCTCAGAGGAACAAATGAGGGACTAAATTATATTTTATCTATGAAAATTTGTCAACAAAATAAAGCATATAAAAGAATACTGAAATGCTGAAATTACACTGAAGCATGAATCAAAATATAAGAGTGAACTTTGATTTCCAATAAAAAGTGCTTCTGTTCCAAGTACTACTAAGCAAAGACTAGAACAACAGAGCAATATATATATATATATATATATATAAGGGTTTTTAAATTCCATTTTAAAAAGAACATATAATTATCCACTGTGTCTTTGCAAACAGCTTGTATGTGCAACATTTTCTGTCCTTGGAGGTAAAAATAATTTTTTCCTTCATTAGTATGGATTACTTTTGGCAAGTAACATATAAATAGCACATGCTGTAATATTCTAAGCACATTCATATTTATATAATGGCTAATGTCAGCTCATGATTATGTGTTTCATATGCTAAACATGATTTTGCATTGGGAGCAATTTTGATTAGCAGAAGTCTGCATCTCCAGTTAATGAATGACAGAATGCTTTGTGACTGCGATGGCCACCGAATTCAGTGACTGTGAAGAAATGCTTTGCCCAACTTGAGCTGCATGGATATATTTTTACAAAATAGCTTAATTTTAGTTTTTCTTTCCCCAATTCTTCCATATCACATGGCATAAACTCAAAAATTAGTTTAATTTTGAATCCTTAGAAGCTTACTGCACTGAACTGAAGACTGCCTGTTGAAAAAGCAATCATATATTAATGAAAAATCCCACTATTCAAGGGAACAGAAGACAAAGAGAACTTCTTAGGCGATTTAAACAAAATTTAATTACACTCCCACATTTTGGTCTTACTGTTGTTGCTTTTTGCTTCTTATTCCCCTCTATCCCATCTCAACAGTGACTTCTGCTGTGTTGCATGAAACCAGTTGCTACTAAAGCCACTTCTGCAAGAGGAAAAATCCAGGTTTTCATAAATGGTACCTTTATTGTTCCTATTCTCAGAGCATTACAGCAGACTTTTATGAGCTGCATATTAATACCAGCTATATGGAAATGAGGGATTTGTTTTAGCTAGAAATATTAAAAGTTACTAATTTGTTGATTGTTTTTTCAAAAGACAGGATGCCTGAGTACTAAGACAGCTGAAGAGAAAAGGCTCTTAGTTTGCTCTTCCACTTATTCAGCTTGCTCTTCTTCAGGGCAAAAATATTTCATTTTGAAAAAAATGAAAATTTTTTGTGCATATAAGAAACATGATGTCATGAAATCAAGCCCAAATTAATGCATTCAGGCAATGTCATTTAAACATGACATACATATAGGAATAGAAACTTCAGAAACAGAAACCTTCCTAGAAAAATTAAATATTATACATTTAATATTAATTAAAAACAAATTAATCTAAAATTGTATTATTCACTAGAAAGTACTAATAAATTACTGCAAAACATGATATGTAAGTTTCAGCTTACACCAAATTGTTCTGTATACATGGAAACTCATGTTACAGTATCCTTGAATTTAACAAAATCCCAGAAGTGTCCCATTGTTTTTAGCAATGTACATTCACAAGAAAATATAATCAAAATTTGAATATTCACACATAATTTGGATACAGTTGAAATCATCAAGCATGTCCATTGCAAATCATAGAAAAAAAACCCCCATATTTTATATACTCTTGTCTAAAACCTTCTCTCCAGCTTTCAGCATTGGCAATTTTGAATGTGCAGAAATAGTAAGTCCTCCCTCTGCCATCAAAAGAATGTCTTTATTAAAATAGTCATTATAATGGCTCTTTCTCCTAATTTTCTTTATGCAAATTGACTTATTCCTACTAAAGGTACATAGAGGCAATATTAATTTTCTGCCAATGAAATTTATACACAGGTAATTCCTCAGGACAGATCATACCTGCAATTTCCTCAACACAGTGATTGTTTTCATATTTGCTCTTCCTTTCATATTTGCTCTTTTTTTTTTTTTTCAGCCCTGGAATTGAAATCACCTATACCACCTACATTCTTCATCACATTTCCTGCTGGCATACCATAGTCACATCTTCACTCTTCCCTTCCTCCTCACTGCTTCCATAATCTAATCATCTCTCTATACACATATCTCCCATACATACGTGTTTCAATCACTGCAATACTGTCTGCACTGGACTTCCGAATATTCTTGTTGGATCTTCAATCCCCGTTATTTTCTATTTCTTTTCTCAAATGTTATGTTGATTATACAGTCAGTGTTAAAAGTCAATTGGAAAAATATAATTTACTATGTCTACAGGGAAAAACATTCCAGTATAATGATGGTGCATTCAACACAAGGTGATACTCAGAAGTACCAGTACTAAAGGAGATGTACGTAAAGGTGATGAGAAACAATTTTACACACTCAGATAGGGCAACAAAAATACTGCTTGCCAGTCTTATTAAGGTATAAACAAAGAAGGAAAAACAAATCTCATCCTTGGCTTCTATATTTTGACACACATGTAACATTATTAATGGACAACCAGCATTACTTTAGAAAATATATAGACAGTTGGTGACAAAGATTAATGCATTATTTATGTGAGAAAATATGTTAAGGAAAATTCCCAGTCTTTCCATTCATGAGACTCTCTGGCAGTCACACTCCCACTGCAGAGACTTCAACTGCTGGGCCTGAGGTTCCTTCAGTAGGTGGCTCCACTTAACAAACAAGGAGCCACTTCTATTCTAGAAGTTTTCAAAAAGGTAGAAACTTTGTACAAACAAAGTTTACAAATACCAAAGTCCTGCTCATTCTCCATTTTTCTGTAGGAGTAGAACACAAATTCAAAGAACCTGACCTTACAGTTCAATCAATACAAATACTAGAACTGCTATAAAGAATCCTATATGACACTAACTTTTTTTTACCAGTTTTTACCAGTAAAACCTTTTTTTTACCAGTTTACCAGTTTTCAGTCCTTCACACTGACCAGTGCTTCACAAACTCAGTATTTTTATTAGTAATATTAGACTAAATATTACTAATACTAAATATTACTAATATTAGTAATATTAGTAATATTTATCAGTAATATTAGACCATTGTATGTACATGTAATATGCCGAAAACAAGCAACCATGTAACACTACCAACTGTCATCTTGTACCTGAAAAAGTGAAATACAGAAATAGCAAGGAACAAGTCATATAAATGACATGTATTAACATCTGTCATCATGAAAGAAAATATAAATCAAACAATTATCCTTTGTATTTCACAAAGGAAAATAGTCTTTCACTCAGAAATCTTACAAAAGAGTTATAGACAAATCTCCTACAAAGTGTAGCTAAGATCAGTCATCGTACTATAGTAATGGAACTACAAGGCACTACAACTGAGTCTACACAAAAGGAAAAAATATAACTGAAATGTATGAGACTGCAAAACACATATATGAAAATGCACTGGAATTTAAGAACTTAACAAATGCTGAAGAGTTTAATTTAGAGAGAAGCACTCCACCAGCACAGAAATGAATGGCACTGTTTAATAAAATATGTCTTGTTCTCTTATTACTGATTTGGAAAATGGAAAGTCAGATTTTAATGAAAAACATCAAATATCATCCAGAATACCCATCACCGGACAGGTAATTTCTGTGTTTTCTGGAAAAGTCTTAGACAGTTATCGTGGCTTTCACACTGAATCCCCATTTTCTACCTCCATACTTTTCCTTTTTAGCTCCCCATTTTCTTCTGCCTCCATTTCTTCTAAAGCCCATGGGTGCTGCATAGGAGTAACCACGTCATGTAACAGAACAGTGCATTGTGCTGGCTGCTACACAAATCTTCTTCCTTCCCTGTCAAATTTACATTATGAGTTATTGATTGTCATATCACAAAAACTTTCATGACATTGTGCATATATCTGCATGCATTGAAGCCTAGAAGTGCAAAGAACAGCGCTTTTCATATTTACATTTGTATTGTATTTACTTGGACATCCAAACAGATGAAGAAATTATATAGTCAATAATTTCAGAAACATATGCATTATTTAAAGGAAAAAATGTAAATATTCAATAACATAAAGCAAATTTCTGTGAGCTACTGCATGAATTATATAATAAATAACAGCTAGAATCATGTATGAGTACTATCAGAGCTTGTCAGATGCTCTAGTTAAGGAACAGATCCTGAAAATAGCTTGCTTTTCCCTGGTTATTTTAATTCCAGCAAAATAAAATTGATAAAGGCAGAGCAAAAGTTCCTTTAGCAGTCTTGCACAAAACCAAGTTCTTCATTATATTGTAAAGAATTATTATTAGGATTTTTTTTTTCAATCTTAGAATTAACAGCCACATACCTGTTGCTGAACTGGTACTTGCTGTACTACCTGTGTGGGAACTGCTGCCTGGCCAGCCACAGATGTCTGTAAAGTCACAGTTGAACCTGTATCCGCCCCAGTCTCTGATGTCTGCATTGTGATCTCTGAATAAAATTAAAATATAAAATCCAAAAGTTAGTGCATAAATGTTTTTATTTTGCCACTTACATTAGCACACTAATTTGTCCCTTATTTCTATTAATATTTTAAAATTAGCTAATACTAATCTTGTTATGAGCCCAAAGATTTTTTTCTCCCTACTAGCACCAGTGTTTGTATAAATAGAGTTTTATGTTTTTTTATCTTACTTATATTTCAAATATCTTTTGCTTACATATGAAGAAATGTGTCACTTATCTGAGCTTTGTCCCTTTAGGAATAACTTAAAAATCAGCAGCAGATCTTCTCTCAGCTTGTAAATAACTGGTCAGCATTCAAAACCATTTTTTCTCTGTCTTACTGAATTACACTAAAATCTCTATACATTCAAATTCAAAGCTGAACTTGAAGCAGGCCACAGAACAAAGGCCTCTACTTTGGAAAGTAACCTTTGAAAAGCATTTAATGAGTCACAGTGAAAAAAACACTCAAATAACCTTCTTCAGTAGAAAGCATTAAAGCAATTATTAAGAAATTTTTTTTACTCTAAAACCATTTAGAAATATATAAATGGTAGACAAATGCCTATGATCATGACCCTGATGTTTTAAGGAAACAACAAAATTTGGGTAGAATAAAGAAATGGTTCAAGAATCAAGGAAAATGCCTGACAAAGAAAACTTATCAGAAAGACAACCAAGAATGATGTCTTCATATGAAACATAGATTGTGAGCTGCAGATTCCTCAAATTTGCACAGCCAAAATGACAATTTAATGATGACAAACCAAAACGAATTCAAAATTGTGAATCAGTCTTTTATTTCCTTTTCTTTGTAAATTTTTTAAAGCAGTGGATTAACCAGTGAAACTAATAAACAGATGAGGCAGGTTCTTCTTCACCTGGTACCTTCAAAACAGAAGAGTGTATGTGTCTGTGAACAATTACGGTGAACAAACACAAATTACTAGTCTGTAATCCAAATGTTCTGTGAAAACTTTTACTGCCCTCAGTCTCTATTAATCTACATTAGCTACAAAATACTTGGGCAATCTGAGAACCACTGTCACTAAAAATTAGTAGCTTTATCATGCATAATAGAAGAGATTTATATGGGGAAAAAATTACACATACTTAGAATGACCTATGCAAATGATTTTTTTCAGTTCAACTCATGAAATCCAGATGGCTGACACTGAAGAAACTTTAATCCCTACCACCACCACCAAATAACTAGCTCCTCCAAAAACTCAACAATTTTTTTTTAGACAAAACTGTTACAAAAATATTGAGGGACATACCACTAGATAACAGGAGGAATTAATTACTGTATGAAAAAAAAATTCATTGTTCTTCTTGCAGAACCAGGTGTCAACATCAAACTTTCCTTTCAAGGCTGGGTTCCACAGCAGTTTAAGCTGATTTAAGACTGGGTTTCTGCAGTTTGTCCCTCCAACTGTCTCTAGTTCACTTTGCATTCAAATGTAGCCACTGCAAAGCAGGAAACAGGTATGTAAATTTGGTATGAGGTCAGGCAATAGGGCAAGGATCTTGCCAGTTGGGACCATTCTTGGTTTAAACTCCAGGAAACCATGCCTATGGAACATGATCGATTTAAATGTGTCTTCTTAAATACTCAGAAAGACTGATAAATTCTTGATCAAACTAATTTCAGATTAATCAACAGACTCTCAGAGTCTCACGTTAACTGAACCCTGTACTTTTAAGCAGTGGATGCACTTCAGGACCCAGCACACCTGACAAAAATCAGCATACAAAAGAATAAAGAAGTAGAACTTCAGATTACATTTATATGTTAGAATCTTAACAATTAAAATGGATGTTCACACAATAAATATGGAGGAGTCGGAAGCCTCCATGCTGCTAGAAAGTTACGACGTAGGTGTGATTACTCAAACCTGGTGAGATGAACCCCACGCCTGTAGTGCAGGCTGCTCAGAAAGAACAGGTGAGGAAGGAGAGATGGGTATATTGTGTTTGTCTGGCAAGGCTTGGGTAGGTAGCAAGCAAGGGGGACTACATGGGTGGCTTCTCTGAGGAGCTGCCAGAAGCTTCCCCTGTGTCTGATGAAGACAGTGCCAGCTGGATCCAAGATGGAACTATTGCTGACCAAAGCTGAGCCCTGAGCCCATCAGTGACAGTGGTAGTTCCTCTACTTTTTTCCCCCTTCTTCAATAACATATTGAAGAAGGGGGAAAAAAACATACTGGGCAGAAGGACATTGCAATCACAGAAAAAAGGAGTGAGAGTATGTGAGAGAACCTGTAGACATGTCAATGGAAGGGCAGGCTTCAGAAGGTACCTGAGCTGAGATAGGAGCAGGTTTGCTGGCAGGACCCATGACCCCAGGGGAAAGTAATGCTGGAGCAGCCTGGTCCTGAAGGGCTGCACCCCATGTGAGGGACCTATGCCGGAGCAGTTTAAGAACTGTAGCCCACAGGAATGACTCACAGAGAAATACATGGAGGACTATCTCCTGTGTGAGGGTCCCTCCACAGAAGCTGAAGAAAAGTGTGAGGGAGGAGTTCACCCCCTGAGAAGGAAACAGCCACAGAAACAATGTGTGAAGAACTGATGGTGATCTCCATTCTGAATTCCCCTGCACTGCTGGAAGGGAGGAGGTAGAGAATCAAGAATAAAGTAAAGCCTGGGAGGAAGTGGAGAGTGAGGGGAAGGTTTTTGAAGATTTAGGTTTATTTCTTACTATTCTGCACTGATCTGATTGGCAATAAATTCAAATAATTTTCCTCAAGTTGAATCTGTTTTCACTGTCATGGTAATTGGTGAGTGATCCTTCCCTGTTGCTATCTTCCTCAATGAGCTTTTAGTCACATTTTCTCTCACTTGTCCAGCTGAGGACTGGAGGAGTTACAGAGTGGTTTTGGCAAGCACCTGGCATTCAGCCAGGACTGCTTCATTGTTCTGGTTTAAGTCTCTATCCTAAACACAAAATTTTATTATAGTTCAGTACACTGTACACATTTTTCCCTCTAGGTGCCATACGATATGGTCTGACAGTCAACCAAAGCAGCTTCCTATTTACTGGAAGTTTTTCTAGCATCACATCAATGATGCAGTCAGTGTAATTCGTTTACATTGCATCAGTACTGAGAACACACTGCTGGTTTTGGCTAGGGTAAAATCAACCTTCTTCACAGAAGCTGGCACTGGGCTGTGCTGAACAGAGGGTTGATAATACAGAGATGTTTTTGTTACTGCTGAGCAGGGCTTGCACAGAGCCAAGGCCTTTTCTACTTTTGGCATTGCCACACTGGGGAGGAGAGTGGGGGTGCTCAGGAGGTCAGAAGGAGATGCAGCCAGGACAGGTGACTCAAACTGACCAAAGGGATAATCCAGACCATGTGACATCATGCTCAGTGTGTATGTGTGATGGAGCCCTGCTCTCCTGGAGCTGGGTGAACACCTGTCTGTCCATGGGAAGCACTGAATTAATTCCATGTTTTACTTTCTCTTGTGTTTGGCTTCTGCTCTCCCTTTTAAACTGTTTTTATCTCAACCCCTGAGCTCTTCAGCTTTTACCCTTCTGATTCTCTCCCCAACCCCACCAGTGGGAGAGCGAGTGGCTGCAGGGGCTTGGCCAATGGCTATGATTAAAGCCAAAGAAATAATCTAAACGCAGACTCTCACATTTTTTCACTGATACTCCACCTAAATAAAGGAAGTGAATATTACAGGAGAAAAGACGTCATCCTTGCCTAATTGGACTGTCAGGTGTATGACAAACAACAGATGAATGTTTGGGAAGGTCCTTTTTATTCTGCCTAATTAAGCAGTTGGACACACCCATCTGTTAATGGTATTGCTTTGTATAGCCAGTGCTTGTTGCACGATGTGAATGTAACCTAAAAAGGCCGCATTCTGAAAGAAGACTAATTATCCCATCCAAGTGGGAAAAGATACTGTCAGGACCCAGCTGCTGAATGCAACAAGGTTAGTATTTCCTCAGTATAATGGGCAGAACTTAGGCAAAGCTGAAAATTATTCCTTTCCTATATATTCTGTACCGTTTCATGTTGTCTGTTAAATTTCTTAAAGATTTTTTAATATACCCAAATTCTCAGTTGGAATCCTTCTGTTTTTGAGACTTGAAATATGAAGACAGAATGATTTAAGAGTATAACTTGTTCTAATACTTATCAAAAGGGATTGTTAAAATGTGTCAGATTACGGTTTATTCTGTTCTTGGACTACTTCACACTGAACTAAATTTACTTTTTTAAGTGACCAGAGTTTGCAAAGTTTTGTTCAACTACATATGCTTTATTGTCTAGATCAAATAATGTAGCAGGTTTTAATTCAATGCAGAAAATGAAAGCCTGTTATTTACTTTCAAGTGCAGCAGGAAATTTCTTTTTTCTCCTCTAGAAGCCTAAACAAAACATCACAGAAGATAAACTGAACTAGATCTCGTAATCACATGCAGTAATGGTAAGCTTTTAATAGTCAGAATAAACAGCTAATCTCAAAATCTTATCTATTTATAATGATGAATAGCCAATATACTAATTAAGAATTTGCAGCAACATAATGTGTTTCACTATAAAGGAAAACTCAAAACATTGTTTCAGCAATTAATACAGAACGCTTGGCTCCTGAACAAGAGTATAAATGGAAACAGTTTTCAGTAATATACTAGTTTCACATAAGTATTCCTTTTCAATTTTTGTATAAACAAAAATTTTATGAATAATTGACTTCATAACTGTGTTGTGTTACCCCAGAGCAGAAGACAGATTACACAAGCTATTCACAGAGGATGAACAGAATATTACAATAGTTTCTAGATACTAATGTAATTTCATGTTAGAACCCCAGTGTCTTACTAAAACACTATTTGATTGTTTGTCTTCTCCGAAGGTTCTTGAGAATACCAAAGTAGGCAGCTGGACTCTACCTGGTATTGGTACTAGTTGCTAAATACTGCAGTTAGTAATACAAATTTCCTTACTCTTTTTTCAGCTTGTCACAGATTTATGGAGGAGTAACAGTTAACTGAATGGCACAGAATGAAGTTTAGAACCTGCCTCTCTGAATTTACAGAACTACTTCTGAGTAGTAAAACCCTGTAAAAGAGTAACAAACAGAAGTGTGAGATACAGAGATGCACATGGGAAGAGACCTGTGCAAGTAGAAACTCCTGGTAACTCCTTCAAAGAAAGTTCATAATATAAAAAAGCATTGTCTTGATGATCAGTTGCTTACTAAATCCCTAAGAATGGTACAGTACTAGTGAACAACAGTCATAATGAAATCCTATATTGCCAGGAGATCACAGCACATGGGTGCTTAGATAGAATGACTACTTCATGACACTCTCACTTTGATCTACCTACTAATTTTACCTTCAAAACCATCAAAATTGTATCTTCTCTTGCTCGAAAATTAATCAGTATTACACAGCAGCCTTACCCATTAGTACACACTAGCACTAAGATTACATTTACTTACAGGCTAAAGCTTCTCAAAATTTTTGTTGTGAGAAAACTAGCAAGCCATCAAACAATTACACTTATGCTATTCTAAAGCATTAGTTTGTCCACTAGAGAGTCTGTGAGTAGAAAAGTCCAAGAGGTGTTTTCCTTCATCCTGGGTGAAAGGGTGTTAGGAAGAGGGCACCAATATTGCATGTCAACACTTGATTATAGAACCGCCATTAGCAACAGGACTTTGTTTTTTTAATGACTATAGAGCCTTCTCTGAGGTTAACAACTTGGGAGACCTGGGATGTGCCTCATTAATTGGGGCAAAGATATTTCTGCCAGCATGATAGGCTTTCATACCACCTGGTAGGAAGGGACTGGAGCAAGGAGAGGTATGGGGAAGAAAATATTTTCCGGCAGCCCAGTGAAGGAGTGGTGGACAAGTTCGACAAGCAAAGGCCTGGGGTGACATGAATGAAAGGCAACACATAGTCAAATAATGAGGCTTAAGCAGGGTCACCTCCAGCATGTGCATATGAGCAAGGAAGTAGCTTAGAGGCATGTTTATGAGGAAGTCACACAGATCGTCTTTCAGAAATCAGCATGCTAAAGTGCCTGTCTGAAGAGCTCATATGTGAAGGCATATACAATGGCCCCACACTCAGCATGGTGAATAAAAATGAGGAATAGAGACCTCTGTGCACTTGCAGAACTATCACCTTGCTAGATGACAGTCGTGCTGGGACAGCAAACATGACTGAATGGCAGCAATGGAGGGACATTAGCTATCTAACCTTACAGCTTTTTTTTTTCAGAAGTAAAAATGTCTTCAGGAATCTAGGATGAAGTTCACAGGAACTTCTTTGTTGGGATGGTATTTTGTAGTGTTTAACCAGAAACAAGTTTTGATAAAGAATTTTATTACAGAACATTTTTACAAGTTTAGTGTGCTTTCTAAGTTGCTATTTACACTGCTAAGTCTAGTATATTATGGTTTTTAATTCACACTTAATGAAGCATTATCCATCT